TTGTATAAATTCGTAGAAAACTCAAAAATTGTTTCCAATTTTTTTTGGATAAACTAGATATCATTATCAACAACTTTGTAGAAGAAATCATCTCAAAATTCTGAGTATAAAATTATCTAAAAATTCGGGTAACATGCTGGCAGATTCAAGACAGATTATTCTCAACACAGTTTCAGATTTAGTTAAAAGTTTGTATAAATTCGTAGAAAGATCAAAAATTGTTTCCAAAAATTTCTGAATAAACTAGACATCATTATCAACAACTTTGTAGAAGAAATCATCTCAAAATTTTGAGTATAAAATTATCTAAAAATTCGGGTAACATACTGACAGATTCAAAACAGATTTAGACAATGTATCAAATGTACATAATCTGAAAAATTTCAATTATATAAAAAAATTGAGAGGGTTGAGAGGGTTTTCTTACTTAGTAATAGGGTGACAAAATGGTTGAGAATTTTGGCTTCCTTAATCTCCTACTCTTCTTCCTCTCCTATCACTAAGCTTGGTTGCTTTGGGGATTTCTCTCTTCTTTTTTTTCTTTTTTTTTTTTTCCTCACCGAATGCTTGCATGCACAAGGAATGCTTGCATGCATATATATATAAAATGCTAGTTGAAGACATCTCTCTCTTCCTCTCATTCTCTCCATTATTTTATTTTCTCAAAAAAATTCCATTCCCTTTTTCCAATTTCTAAGAGCAAGCTTTCCCTAAATTATATAAGCTTTTCCCTAAATTTTACAAGCTTTCCCTAAATTTTATGGCTATCCTAAATTCTAAAAGATGGTGGGTTTGGTAGGAGCTGTGGGTTGTTTGCCCACGGTTTGTTTGTTGGTATATTTTTTGTGTGGGTTTCTGAAAATTGACACACTAAGATTTTTAACTAAGGTATTTAGTAAGAATAGTTATTATATTGAATCCTAATTAAAATAATTTATAAACAATAAATATTGAACACCCACAAAATTATTATTCTTAATAATGTCTTGTTAGTGATTGAATTGAGTCAATTTAAAACTAACTTTTACACTAATATATAATTCTGATAGACTGTAGACAAAACTTTAAAGAATAATTAAAAGATGGGTTTTCACAGGTTATTAGAAACAACAAAGGAAGTTGGACCAAGATGTTCTTACCAACAGTTCCTTTATTTCAGTTTATATTATAGCCTGGTATCTGGGCTTCTTGATCTTTGAACTGGCTAGAAACCCAGAAGAAATTGTCATCGTTTAAGTCTTTGTCTAGTGTGTTTTTTATAATTTTTTCTCGGCCTCTTCTAACTCTGAGGTAGTACACCCAACCGTCGTCATTTTGGCCGAGTGAATATTGGTGAAATAGCTCAGCCAATTCGAGGTTAAAGCCGAGTCGGCTGTTTAGCTCAACGATGCCATTTATTATTCTGTAAGTATTTGGGAAGAGTTGGGTTGGACACAATCTTATTTGCCTAAAGAACTCGCATATGAGGGGTTGGACAGGGAACCAGAGCTCGGCTTCTACGATCGATATTATCGTAAATGGGACGAAGCCCAGTTTACCCAAGGGTATGGTAATCTTTTCAGAATTTGGCCATGACCCCAGGCAAGTCTACCAAGAATCGGTATTTACCCATTAAATTTAAAGATGGATGTGTGAAATTGGGCCCAGCAGCCTAGCTCGACGCGGTCATGACTTTGGATGGCTCGGTCAAGCAATAGTGCCAAGGGGCAAAGTGCAAGGGTGTGCCTGGCCAATCTAGTCAAGTCTGCAAAGTGGAAATAGAAAGGGGGTCTATGCCCAAGTGTTAAACCGGTCTGAATAACAAATTATATAAAGACTAGCTCGGCAGCAATTAAGTGCGTGCTAGCCTTTGTTCGGCTAAAGAAACAGTTGCGAAGAAAAAAAAGTTTTAGGAACCGGGTTAAAATCAGTCTGGTCAAGGGGCAAGAACATCATTGTAGCTCGATTTGTTGCGGAAGGGATTTCTAGTTCGGTAGGCCTTAACTCACAAACCGGTTCTTACCCCAGTCGCAGTATGATTTTGGATCAAGAGCACAGTTCTAGACTGATTCTTAGTCCCAAGTCAGTGTGTTTCTAAGTATGCTCATGAAGTTTCAATGCTTCTCGACATTGGTTCAAGTTTTGGGGTATATAAACACACATATTTGGTGTCTAGACACCGTTCTTTAGAAGTAAACAAGGGTGTAACAGTAGGAAAAAGAAAAAAAGCATGAGGGACTTATCGATTAAAGGCATGAAAGAAAAATCAATAAACGAGCTGCTGCGACTGGGATGAGCAAACCAAGCGATTCAGGTACTGGGATGGAGACTTGGCAGTGGAAAGTGAGGATTTGGGGTTAGAAATGCGAGAGGTTTTTCAGAAAGAAGATGAACAGTGACAATGGACATTTGAAGATGGTAGGAGTAGGTGTAAAATGGAGGTAAAAAGGCGGGATTGTTCAAATTTTGGAGTTATGTTTGACGACTGTCGCAGCAGTAGGGGCAATCAAGAGGCACCGTGTGTCCTAGTAAGGACGTGGTGTCAGTAGCGTGGTAAAGTGGGCTGTACTACGTCAAAGATGTAGCAACCGAGTGGATATTTTAGCTCAGCTAGCCGAGGGACTTCGCCTCGGGCGATATTTAAGCGCGGCTTGAAGATAATTAATCCCAAATCATGCATTGCAGATGGAATTAAGGGGTAATTGAGAGGGTAATTTATGGGTAACTTGGGCTGAGCTAAGTCCAGATGTTGAAATAGACCGAGCTATGGGCCGAGGTAATGGTCTATGTAGCTTTGTCCTTGATCATGTCATTTCAGTCGGAGGTGGCTACCAGTGGCCTGGTCTGGATGTCTTGGATAGAGGTATCGGTGGAAGAAAGACCGAGCTAGAGGATAGCACTACAGGGCATAATCTCAAGACTGACTGTGTTGCCCAAGATAACACCGAGCTGAGTGAGCTCGGTTAAGTCTGGTGTAATGCAATGTTGTGCTATCCCGGTTGTGCTGTTACCAAACCGTGGTATAAGGTTTGAACCATCTCACTTGGTTAAGCAATGGGGAGGGTGTTAAAAGATATTATCTTTTAAGAGATGTGATTCCTAGAAGGATTCTACATTGGAGAATAAGAGTCCTACTAGGATTGTGCCATGCGGAATCTATAAAAGCTCGTACAGGACCTATGTACAGGTATCACAATTCTTACTCCAGAATACACAGAGTTTTTGTCTATTGTCTATTTGTTGACTTTGGCATCGGAGAGGTTCCCGGCACACACCCACCGGCTAGCTCGCGTTTGTGTTTTCATGTAGCAAAGTGACGTCGTTTGGAGGAGTGCAAACTTGATTAACAGGATTATACGAGAAGTTTAGTTTGTGCTCATACATTTTGTAAAACCTTAGTTGGTTTTATTGAAGTAAATGAGTGATTAGACCGTGTATTATATAAAATTTATTTTGTCAAAGTGTCGTATTTTCTGTCTAACTCTGAACTTATTTAAATCTACTCAGTATATTATGTTGTGTGTTAGTAGTTAAGAGTGTTGTCCCTCGCTTTAAGGACGTGTTGCCTTTTAGACATGTAATGAGTTTCATTATAATATCTAATTTAATATAAAATTTATGACTTGCAAAAAAAAATTAAAATTATTGTTGTGCTTTTGACAAAAAAAGACTAGAGTTTGCGGGGAAAAAAAAATTCAAAATTGAATTTATCTCCAGAATATCCAAAGAAAAATTAAGAAAGAAATGTCAAGAGCGAAAAAAAGGGGGAGGGGGGGCGAATTATACTGAAGGTCCCTATAGTTTGTGACGTGTGTCACTTTGGTCACTGAGTTGTCAATTGTGACACATTTGATCTTGAATTTTGAATATTATTCCAAATAAAGACAATTGAATATACCAATGTTCAATTTCAAAAGCAAAATCGTCAATTTGATAAAATATAAACTAATTTGACAAAAATAAATGTCAAAAAAATATTTTTAGATTTTTAAAAATTATTTCTACCCACCAAAGATAAAATTATTTAAAATTAAATTGATAAATCTTTTCATATTTATTTATTTTACCAAATTAATTTTTATTATGTGTTTTGATGATAATCATGTAATAGGTAATTGTTTTTTTTTCATTAAATTAGTTTCTATTTTTTTAAAAGTCAAATATGGCGACAACTTTGATATCATTATTAAACCAATCAATTAAATCAAAAATCCAAAACTAAAAATGTTTCATATAAAATATATCGATTACACATTAAAAGTCTAACAACCATCCATTATATGATTATCATCCAAACACATAATGCAAATTAATTTGGTAAAAAATAAATAAACAGATGTGTAAATGATTTATTAATTTTACATAATTTTATCTTTGGTGGGTAAAAATAATTTTTAAAAATTCAAAAATATTTTTTTGACAATTATTTTTCTTAAATTAATTTATATTTTATCAAATTGACGACTTTACCCTTCAATTGTGCAATGGTATCTTCAATTGTTCTTATTTGAAATAAGATTCAAAATTTAGAATCGAATGCGCCACAATTAAAAAGTCAAAAATTAAAATGACATGAGTTATAAACTATAAAAACTGTTAATACAATTCACCAAATAAAAAAAAACTAGACAAAAGAAGACATTTGTGCATGTAAGGGAAATACATAAATAGTATCACCTGAATCTTACAATTCGGGTCATGCTAGAATTCATAATTTATTTTAAAAATTATATTTATCATTGATATAAATATTATTTAATAAAATAGATATTGATATTTAATTTACGTGATTATTTATAGAGATAAAATATTTAATAGGCCTTCCGTATTAAATAGTTCGAATTAATAATGTGAGTTTCGGAATTAATAATGCGAGTTTCGTAATAAATACAAAAATCCAACCGCACCCTGGTCCGATTGGGCCTAAATAGTATCACCCGAATCTTGCAACTCGGGTCACGCCCGTATCAATTTCGGATCACGATGACCCAAAAGAGCTTCGCAAACCAAAATGACAAAAAGCAGGGTCTCAGAAACGCAGTGGTGCGTACTTTACTCACTAAAAATGTCTTCTTTGTTATTATCATCCACTCTGCTTTCTGCTATCACCACTCCATCCGAGTCCAACCGAGTTTATCTCCCAACACACCATAAGAACAACAAGAGGACGACGAGTTATCTGACTCGGGCGCGACTCGGTTTCAACCCCACTTTTTGGTCCACAACCTTCCGGAGGCGGAGACGAGACCCTCTCTGCTGCTTATCAATGCCTGTCGAGGGACCCACTTCATCTTCTCAGGGTCTCTCTCTTTCCCTTCTCTTACAGATCAATGCAATTTTTTATTCGTTTGGTTGCTTAGAAAAATTTTAGTGTAAGGAAAAGTAGAAAAAGTAATTAAGAGACGAGAAAACGTTTATATTTGAACTAGAATAAAGTGGGTTTGCGTTCAGGATATTGTGTGACCCAGAATTCTTGAAATCTAAAATTGAAACTGTCTTCTTGTATTTGTCTTGTTGATTTTATTTAGCCTCGTTTGGCATAAGCTAAACGGGCCTTTTCGGCTAAAATAGTCTAAAAAGATAAGGAAAAATTACCCATAGGTCCCATGAGAAACATGTGTGGGTTTGCGTTCAGGATATTGTGTGACCCAGAATTCTTGAAATCTAAAATTGAAACTGTCTTCTTGTATTTGTCTTGTTGATTTTATTTAGCCTCGTTTGGCATAAGCTAAACGGGCCTTTTCGGCTAAAATAGTCTAAAAAGATAAAATAAATTTTTATATAGAATTGACATTTAAATCATAATATTTTTTTTTTCTCCACAAAAGTCAAAAAAATAAAAAATAAAAAATAAAAATAAAAGTCAAAAAGTCTGTCCTAAACGAGGTGTTTTAGCCTCAGGCTAAAAATAGTAAAAAAAAAAATCAAAATGCCAAAAAATCAACCAACATCTCAAAGGAACCCTTTTGTCTTTATTTGATACAAACACCTTGTTTATTAGATATTAATTAGTTGTAGAGGCAATGGGGTCATGGACTAGTGTGTAGAATCATGGTTTAGTGGGTTATGGTTTCAATCTATTAATGAATATGGAGAGAAGAAAAATAATTTCAGAATGCCAGGTTCTCCTCAATGTGGACCAATTGGTGGTCTTCACAGAGTCTTTTCTCCCTTGTTTCTTTTGCTTTTATTTCTGTTAATTTTGTTAACATAAGTGTACATAACAGAAAATCACCATTGAAAACCGACTTACAAAAAATACCCACCATTGAAAACCGGCTTCTTGTGGTGGGGATCGTAACATACCAGCATGGTCTGCTACACGGCAACCTACTCTATTGACACTGACCCAATGGTAGCCGCATGTATTTAATTCCATTCTCACATAGGTATGTCTTCCATTCTCACATAGGTATGTCTGATCCAATCCTTGACGTGATGATTGGCTCTAATATCAAATGATATGAATCCTTTGGATAGAACTCACTTTTGAAAACCGGCTTACAAGAAGCGGGTGCCTAAGAGTGTTATATTCACAAGGCCAAACCTCTTGTGTTCTGATGTGAGACGATGGTAACATTATTATTGTGTAAAAGTGAATCTGCAGTCCAAACTAATTAACTTATCATTGTCCGAAATGTGTTTTTTTATTTTTTATTTTTATAAATACATTGTTAGTGCTTAAATTACATGTAGGTCTTTTCCTGCTAAAATTAAAAAAAAAAAAAAAATGTGGACCACTTTCTTATTACGTCGATGTTGTTTAATCTCTAGTCACCTTAACCCAAGTTAAGCTGTCACCGTAACCCATGTTGTTATTGTTAGTGTCATCACTATTGTAAGACCTTTCTTATTACCTCAACCCAAGTTATCCTAATTCCTCCTCTTTTTTCTTTGCTGCTTTTCACATGAATCAAATTACTCATCTCTGGGGGCATGTTAATTGATCTATACTGCATAACTTTCCCTTATTCAACTAATGTCATTTTAAGTTCTTCATAATTGAATTATCAAAAAAAAAAGGAAAAAAAAAAAAAGAAAAAGGAAGCTTTTTCTAATTTATTTTTTTTTTTTTTTTTTATAATAATTTTTATCTTCATTTTTTTTTTTGAAACAACACCACACATCTATTTCAATAACACCATCTATCCATTTTAACATTGCCATTTCAGCTATACTCAATTTTTGTTAGCAACCAAATATTTAGTACCATACATCTTATAGTGATTCTATGAAAATTTCTCTTCTATTTAACAGAATCCTATACTCACATGTGTCTTTTGATGCATTCCTCCATTTTATCCAACCTGTTCAACTTCTATATCTTTATGAATAATTGACCAAAGATGGTGAAAAGGGAAATGCTAATGACGGAACAATGGGTGGTCATTATTCTCAATGTATGTGTAGAAGGTGTATAGAAATATGTGAAGTGTAAAAAAATGGTTGGGGGATAAATGAAAAGTGCATTGGGATTCAAGATATTTTGGCATTATCTCCATCTTAATGACAACTCCTAGGGCTGGCATGAGCATGATCCTATTAAAAATAATCACTCTTAGGTATATATATCTCATGCCCATAAATTTTACTCTACGTTCACCTCTCTGCATATTTTGTGTGAATTTTTCTTATTATAACCCTTTAGATTCTAATTTATCTTTTCACAATTCTAACTTAAAGTTTACTTATTCTCTTGTTGTGTCAACTAAAACTATATCGTTTTCAAATAACATTCATCGGGGAATATCTTCTTGAATGTTTCTATTAAGTTCATTTATAACTAATGTAAAAAGGTAAGGACTTAGTGCTGATTATTGATGTAAATTTATTATTTTTAGTAATTCACTTGTTTCTCCCTCTACAGTTCTCACACTAGTCACAACTCCATCGTACGTGCCTTTTAATTATATTAATATATATATATATATATTTTGTTTTTCCCCCTGAAATTGCTAAGGTTGACACATTTGTGCCTAGAGAAGGGTGAACATGGTCCTTAAAACAAATTACCAAGTAAAAATTTGCCATCTGGATTATTTGAATCAATTCAGTTTTCCAATTCCAATGTAGCAATCATTTTATATATCATTCACACAATAAAGTAGTAAATTGTAAAAGCTATATAACAGACAAAATGATATACTAGAAAAACCATTGGGAACATTCTTCTTGGGTAAAACAACCACTGGGAACAATCCTCTTGGGTAAAAAGCCACGGCACCCTTGCTTGTGAAATCCACTACATCACGAATTTAATACAAAAGACTCAAGTAACCTAACTTTGAATGCATTAGCCTCGATGCCTTACCCCTTATGCAAGCTCAAACTCCAGTCATAAGTGGCTCTGACACCAATGTTAGCCTCCTCTTGTATATATCTATATTCCTTGCATCAACCAATTGACAAGAATAAAAATGCATTCACTCTTAACGCATAAGGTATGAGTAGGTTTTTCTCAATTTAGTTCCAAGCATATGCATAAACAGAATTTTTTCCTGCCAATCAATATGGGCTGGATCTCCTAGGTATTAGAAGGCTTTAGAGAGGTTGGGGCTGCTCTATGATCATTTGTGTGTATCTTTATTATCTTAGATTGAAAAACTAAGGCTTTGTTTTTATAGTTTCTCGAAGGGAGATGCTAATGACCGCCTAGTGTGTGGTCATTAGTCTTGTTGTGCATATAACAAGTGTATTGAAATGAGTAAAAAGTGTATACAAATATGTGAGAATAAGTGAAATGCATTAGGATTCTATATATTTTGGAATTTTCTCTACCTTATGGACAGCCCATAGGGCTGTCATTAGCATGATCATTTGTCAAAAACCAAGTAAAGTTCAAATTTAGAATTTTGCCAGCCCACTTGAGAGGGTGGGCTTCAAGCACGTGATTGTGGACTTTTTATGGCCACAAAAGACACTACCAATTGAGTGCACTTTGGGTAAGCTTCCAGCATGCCTTTCTAATGCTAAACCGCTTGACGGTGCCTCTTTGGTGCCAAACTACTCGAGCTCGTCTCTCTAATGCTACTCCGTTCAAGAGAGCTTCGAGTCAGCATCAAGTTGGACATCTTTATCTTGCCCAAATAACCCTGTTTTGAACTATTTTCAACTACAAAGTGCATGGATCACTGCTCCTCGGGTGGGCTCTGAGCATGCCTCTTTGGTGCCAAACCGCTCGGCTGGAGAAGAGGGCCAGATCAAAGAATCGAAGAAGGAGATGAATTACGAGAACCAATTCCAGTGAGAAATCAGTGGATGAACTGTCACAATGGTAAGTAGATACCAATGAAGAAGATAAAGGAGGACTGTGATGCGGTTTCAGCTACAACATAAGTCAAGGAAGAAGACAACTTTGATTGAGAGCAAAGGAGGCTGCCACGAACTGTGGTGCGAGGGTTTCGGCTTCTTCCAGATGATGAGTCATCACGATGGTATTCAAGTCGTGCCCAATCTTGAATAAAGGATCTATGTAGCTAGGCCTTTTATCTAGCTTACAAGTCTTCCTCAGTGCTACTTATCGAATTTGAATGCTGAATGCAATGCATTGTGGTTCATGTGCTCTATCTCTCTCTCTTCTTCGATCATCTTACCTGGTTCTGCACTTACATGTGAGTTCCAACTGAGTTTCAAGCATGTATTCATCTACATGCCATGGATGCACTGCCTCTGTCATACACAAAATTTAAGGAGAGCTTATGGTTATTTACAAGGTTGTGCATCTTGCTTCCCTTTCATTCAAAAAATCAGTATAGATTTTGTTGAAGCTTATTTGGAATAGAAAACTGTAAGCTTAGATTTCAATACTTGATTGTTTGAGTTGAATTAAAATTTCCTGCTGCCTGCCGGTTTAGTAATTTTAAAATGGTATTGTGTAAGTTATGGTAGGAGAATGAGTCTTATAGAGATTTTCTGGCAATTTTTGGGGATCAGCTCTGGGAGTTGGCCATATAGTAAGTGGTATACCTACTAAAAATCATATTTTCAACTTGTCTTTTTGGTGCAAGTTCATGACATGATTATTTTGATAAACTCATAATTTGCTAACTTTCATTAGTTTGTCAGTTGCAGGATAGCTTGCTGTACTGCAGAGCATACTGGGTCAGTAGATCTAGAATTGCTTGGAATGTAGATGCTGAAGATGGTTCATGTTATTTATATGCTAGTAAAACTGCTTTTTTGTCTGTTACAAATGATGGAATTCAAGGTTTGGACTCTGCCACGAATTGCCACCTGATTCTTCTTTTGCCTTAATTGAGGCGATTTTATGTTTCATTTGTGGAAATAATTGGAATTAAATTTGACATTTCTATGCAAACAGGCTATGATGTGAGAATCAAGCTTGAAGTGGACAACACTGGGCTCTCAGAAAATGTATCACATGATCACAGTGGTTAATTTGCAGCACTTATTATAGTATTTACCTATTACATACTGTTGATCTTTTGTTGTGGTTTGCTTATATATAACTTCTTATTGGTAGTTCCACATGATATAGCATCTTAAGTATAAAAAACTGATCATATTTATTTTATTTCTTCTCAATATTTATACTGTAATTCCAGGTTACGGAAAAATTTCCTCATATTCGAGATTATAAAGCTTTCAAGGTCCCTTCTACCTTGGATGTTGAAAGTCTAGTCAAATGCCAGTTGGCTGTTGCTATATTCAATTGTAAGCATTTCTCCATGATTCTTTCTTTCTCAGTCACTATTAAGAAGCTGACCACTAGTGAATATTGGGAATAAAATGGTTTGCACATCGAAGGGAATATGCTCCGAATAGTATATTTTCATCTGAAAACTCATTTACCGAGAAAGCAAATCATTTACATTTTTTTTGAAGTGCACTTCCAATTAATATTTATTGCATGGTTGAATCAGTTTAAGAAATTCATTGAAATGGATTGTGTTGCAAAATTTTGCTATTATCCACTTGCCCCCATCTCATTTGACTGTTTGCACATATATATATATATATATATTACATTATTGGTTTTACGAACTTACTTTGTTCTCTTGATAAAATCACAAATCACAATAGCTCCAAAATACTAATCCAAATTAGTGTAGAAGAGTTATTATGGCCTGTGTTCTTCAGCTAATGATAATTACTTTTTCTATATCATATATAGCTGACGGGAAATGGAGCGCTGCTACTGGTTTGCAGTTACCTGGTGTCCTTGACGAATTGTTCTCCTATAATGGACCCCTTGGTGCAGTTTTTTCACAAGAAGCAGTCTCACTTTACCTCTGGGCTCCCACTGCTCAAGCACGTCATATTCCTCTATTTTTGTGCCCTACTTCCAGTTCTCTTTCAACACTGCTCTAAAACATAAAAAACAAAGAAAAAGGAAAGCAAAGTCTCCACTTCATATTACTATGTACCTGCATATATATATATAAATGTATATATTGATAAATAAAATATTATAAAAAGTAGAAGCACGAAGAGGGTGCAACCAGTGAATGCTTGCATATCTATATATATATATAATTACATGTGTGTCAAAACAGGTAGTAAGTGCTTGCATCTATGAAGATCCGTCAGCTGGGGATCCTGTTGAAATTGTCCCACTTCAGGAGTTCAATGGCGTTTGGAGTGCCAATGGGCTGAGAAGTTGGGAAGGCTGTTATTATGTGTATGAAGTCTCTGTGTACCATTCTAGCACCTTGCGAGTTGAAAAATGCATTGCCAATGATCCATATGCTAGAGGGTATGCTGGTTATTCTGTTAACCAATAATTCTCTGAAAATAGCTAAGGTGTCTTTATATATCTGCTTATTTAATTCTCTGAAAATAGCTAAGGTGTCTTTATATATCTGCTTATTTATGTGCTTTTTTTTTTTGGGGGGGGGGGGGGGGCCATACATTATGTTCATACTGTTACATTTTTCGAGTAGGCTTTCAGCTGATGGCAGATGGACATTGTTTGTTGATCTTGATTCTGATGCCTTAAAACCTGAAGGATGGGATAAGTTGGCAGATGAAAAACCTGATCTCCTTTCTTTCTCTGACATCAGCATTTATGAAATGCATATAAGAGATTTCAGGTAAGTATTCCATTTTTTATTTTAGATTTCTTTCCCAGAAACATGTATAAAATGTCATTGCTAAATGTCCTAGGATATTTTCAGGATAACAAATGGATTATAGATGGTAAATAGTTCAAGTATAAGGGGTAGAATAGGCTGTTATTAAATAATGGATACTTATCCAATTTTGCTTCATGCAATAGACATGGTTCTGAGCCACATTTGGAACTTGGAAGTATCTTTCATTCCCTTACCTGAAATTGCTTTGGAAGACTTGGTTAGAAGTGTGTTTGTGTCATTGACTCATTGTAATAATTTCCATTCTTATTGACTTTCTCTTTTTTCATTGACACATTCTTGTTGACTTTCTCTTTTTGCATTGGCACGTTCTTATTGACTTTGTTTTTATTTTGTCCCTTATGGCATTTATTTTTCTTTATGACAGTGCTAATGACCCTACCGTGGATCCCAACTTTCGTGGCTGTTATCTTGCTTTTGCTTCTCAGGTAGTTTTGTTCTTTTGCTCCTCACTTTTGAAGAAATTTCTGCCGCAGAATACACATTTTAAACTTGATATTCTACATTTTTACAATTCTTTGGGTGGGCTATATTATTTTGGAATCAATTTAACTCAACTTGACATGCCAGAAGCCTGACTTATGTTTCTTTCTTTTTTTATTTTTTGTTTGTTTTTAAAACAACATCTCTAAACATTTTATTTCTTTTCTTATTTCATCTTTTTCCTTTTATGGCTAGTCTCCTTAATTAATTGTTTCTCTATGGAGTATTTTTAGAAGGAAATCTTCCAGATGGGAAAAAGAAATGAAATGAAGAAAAGCGTGATTTGGATTGTAATCCATGCCTTAAAATTTTAACAATGTGACATTAACTGTATTATGAAGTTTGTGGTACAAACATGACACAAGATGAAATGAACACCATCACGTCTTGATTGACAAGCATGCCAAGAAGAATAAGAGCAGATTACAAACTTATATTTGGTTTACCTTAGAGTTTAGACCTTATGGAATTAAGTTTATCTTTATTTTGAGTCTTAATTTATGTTTTCCATATGATAATATGCCGCTGGTCCTATTTTTTTATGTTTTATAAACTTTTAGAGTTGAAGTGTATCTTTATGGTGCCTTTGGTAAGTGTAGAGTAATCTTAATCTTACAGTTCTATAATATGAATTACAATGTACATAAAATGATTTTTTTTTTTTTTACAATGTACATAATATGAATATTAATCTTACAATGTACATAATATGAATATTAATCTTACAATGTACATAATATAATTTTTTTTTTTTTTTTTAAAATTTTTTATCAATATACCAAAAGAGAAAAAAAAAAATTAAAGAAGAACCCATGCACTCACAGTATTGACCAATTGAAATACAATGTGAACTAGAAGGACAACATCGAGGAAGATGAAATACTACTAGGGACTTGGATTCTTTCACACATATCTATGTACATTGTAGACATTCGAAGTATGCTGTGTGGATATATTGTTAAAGCAAATACATTTTGCTTGAAGGATTCAGCAGGTGTATGCCATCTGAAGAGATTATCTAGTGCTGGAATTACTCATGTTCATCTGCTGCCAACCTTCCAATTTGCTGATGTGGCTGATGAGAAGGATAAATGGAAGTATGCAGGTTAGAGTACTTCTTAGTTTGATTATCAGTATTTGAAGTTCCTCCTGGCCCCGGATTACCTCTACGGGTGTGTCTTCATTAACACTTTACACATATATTAGATATTCTTGGAAGTTGCATTCTTGCATGGGATAAAAAGTTATTGTTAACCTCTTTTAGCACCAACTTATGGTATTTAAACTTATTGAATGATGAACCCAATAATTGATATATACTTGATTCTGTGTAAATATCTTAAAATAAAAAATAAAAAATAAAAAAAGATTAAAAAAAAAAAATTTGCGTGATCAGTCAGCTTTGTGAGGATGTGTGGAAAAGGCATTTCACTTCATGCTGTTAATCATGAAACTGTAGTTTTAGAGAAAAGAAAGAGTTTGAGATTGAGTTAGACTTCATTCCCTTTTATATTGATAATTCTGAGGAATTACAGGCATAATTCTGAGCAACCAAAAATGAATAAATAAGATAAATAAGAATACAATTAATATTTCCTATTCTAACACTTCCCCTCAAGCTGGTGCGAAGATATCTCTCATGTCCAGCTTGTTGAGAATGCCATGAAAGGATTTGCTCCCTAGTCCCTTGGTGAGAACATCAGCTAGTTGGTTCCCAGTCTTCACAAATGGAATACATATGGTGCCACTAATGAGTTTTTTCCTGGTGAAGTGCCTATCAATCTCCACATGCTTAGTTCTATCATGCAAAACTAGATTATGAGTTATGTTGATTGCGGCTTTGTTGTCATAGTATAGTCGCATGGAGTCAGTCTGATGAATTCTCAAGTCTCCCAACAATAGTTTAATCCATAGTAACTCACATACCTCCTGAGTCATAGCTCTGAATTCTGCCTCAGTATTAGATCGAATAACCACATTCTGTTTTTTACTTCGCCATGTGACTAGGTTGCCACCAACAAATGTACAGTATCCAGAAATTGATCGTTTGTCAATGACTGATCCTGCCTAATCTGCATCAGTAAATGCTTTCATACTAAGATGACCATGTTTTAAGAAATAGAGACCTTTTCCAGGAGAAGACTTCAGGTATCACAGGATTCTCATAACTGCCTCTAAGTGGGAAGTTCTAGGAGCATGCATAAACTGGCTTACCATGCTCATGACAATGGCAATGACAATGGCAATGGCAATGGCAATGGCAATGTCTGGACGTGAGTGGCATAAGTATATGAGCTTGCCCACTAGTCTCTAGTATCTCCCCCTGTCCACTGGCTCTCCCTCTCCTCACTAATACTATGTTTGGGAACTTAGGAGAGAAAAGAAAAGAAAGGATTACTTAAGTTATAAGAGAAGAGAAAAGAAAAGAAATGATTGTGATTTTTCTCATTCTTGTTTGGTATGATTTCATTAAGAGAAAAGAAAAGAAAAGAAATTATTTTATGTTATATTACCAAATTAACCTTTTTTTATTTTCAATCATTTTATTTCTTTTATTTCTATAGGGACAAAATTGGTATTATGAAAATAGTAGTTTTTTTTCTCTCCCAATCTTTCCACTTTTGGAAAGATTGAAAATGAGGCTCATAAGAGAAATGAGTTTCTCTCCATTTCTTCTCATTTATCTCCACTTAGGTTATCCAAACAAATAAGAGAAATACATATCTCTCCATTTCTTTTCTTTTCTCTCCAAATCACTCAATCCAAACATAGCGTAATTCTGGAGGTGTATCACATGGTCTACCTCCAAGCAGTCCAATTTCCTTTAGCAAGTCAAGCACATACTTTCTCTGACATATAAAGATACCATCCTTGCTCCTAGCTACTTAAATACCCAAAAATACTTTAAATGACCTAAGTTTTTGATTTCAAACTCCTTGGCTAAGTATTCCTTCAACCGAGGGATCTCCTCAACGTCATCCCTTGTCAAAACAACATCATCAACATAAACAATGGGAGTTGTGGTCTTACCATGTGAGGAGTGTTTTACAAACAAGGTGGATCAGTTTGACTCTGTTTGAATCCATGTTTCAGCATAGCTTGAGCAAACCTTTTAAATCAAGCCCTAGGGGACTGCTTTAGTCCGTAAAGCGACTTTCGGAGTCTGCATACTTTATCTTTGGACTTAGCATCCGTAAAATCAGGAGGAATATCCATATAGACCTCTTCTGCTAGGTCTCCATGAAGGAAGACATTCTTTACATCAAATTGATAAAGTGGCCAATCCAAATTTACAGCAAGAGAGAGTAAGATTCTCACAGAGGCTGAGAGCTTTCATCTCTTCCATCATGGCATGTTTCCATTCAGGAATAGAGATAGCATCCTGAAAAGTGGTAGGTAAAATCACAGAAGACACTTTAGACAGAAAGACTTTATATGAGGAAAATAGATTAGAATAAGAGACATGATTAGTAATAGGATGCTGAGTACATTACCTAACTCCCTTTCTATTAGCAATGTGAACATCAAGATCAAAAACATCATGAATAGGAGTACTAGAGTAGAATTACCTGGACTCGTAGGAGATGAGGTTGATTCTGGACACTCATCTGGAGAAGAAGTTGGCAGTAGTGGAGGGAGAGTAGGCTCTTGCATCTAGGAATAGGCTCCACTATTGCCAACTTCTTATCAGGAATAGGAATACTAGAATAGAATTACCTGGACTCGTAGGAGATGAGGTTGACTCTGGACACTCATCTGGGGAAGAAGTTGGCAGTAGTGGAGGGAGAGTAGGCTCTTGCATCCAGGTGACTTGCTGTCTGTCCTTGTCCCTAATATAAACTTTGCCTACTTTCTTGTCCTCAACAACTGCTGGCTCATTATCCTCTATTTGTTCAACCATTGGCGGAAGAGAAACAGGTGGAACAGGAATCTCTTCACACCAAGGCTCCCTTTGAAGAGATGACTGGGATACTGGGGAAGGCGGAAAGTAAGGCTGAGACTCAAAGAACGTGACATCCATGGAGACAAACCATTTGCGAGTGGGAGGGTGATAACACTTATAACTCTTTTGGGTGGCAGAATAACCCAAAAAAACACACTTAACTGACATAGGATCCAATTTTCCATGAGTGGGAGAATGATTATGGACAAAGCAAACACAACCAACGATCTTAGGAGAAATGGAGAACCTGGAAGAGGTAGACCCGAACAAAACTTGAAAAGGTGTTTGTTTTTGCAGGACTTGGGTAGAAAGACGATTAATCAAATAAGCATTAGTGAGAACCGCTTCCCCCCAATAGGATCGAGGAACCCGCATCTGAAAGGATAGACAATGGGCAACATCAAGGAGATGGTGATTTTTGCATTCTGCAACACCATTTTGTTGAGGGGTATTAGTGCATAAAGTCTGGTGAATAATGCCATGTGTGGCGAAGTAAGTGGTAAGACCAGAGTCAATATATTACCTCCCATTATCAGAATGTAGAATTTTAACAATTGCCCCAAACTGAGTACAAACTATTTTATGGAAGTTTTGAAATACAGAAAAAGCCTCACTTTTATCTTTCATCAAATAGACCTAAATGGCCTTGGAGCAATAATCTATGAAGGTAACAAACCATTTATGACCGATTAAAGACACAAAACAGGATTGACCCCATACATCAGAATGAATCAAAGAAAATGGAACTAATTTTTATTAATAGAAGGAGCAAAAGAGGCTCTATGTTGTTTTTCAATTTGACAAGACTCACAGTGAAAATCTAACACATTATTTTTCTCAAAAACAGAGGGAAATAAAGGCTTAAGTAATAAAAAAGAGGGATGTCCTAAGTGACGGTACCACAGCTAAATGTCTTCTTTGGTGGATGGTAACTGAATAGAAAAATGAGCCAGCGTGTCGGTCTGATCCAAAATGTAAAGCCCATGTTCCTCTCTACCACTGCCAATCCTCTTCCTCGTGATATGGTTCTGAAAAAGACAGTGATCAGGAAAAAAAATGTCACGCTACAATTTAAGTCACGGATAATACGACTCAAAGATAAAAGATTAACACTGAAATTGGGAACATGGAGGACAAAAGACAAAGGAAGGAAAGAGGTGGCATGAATTAAACCTTTCTCTGACACAGACGAAATGGTAATACGCACTTTTTCTTTACCTGAGGAGGGGTTATACTCTGAAAATAAATTAGAAGAGCCAGACATATGGTCGGAAGCACCAGAATCAATAATCCATGGTATAGTTGTATGAGATAGCAATGGGCAAAGGGAGGAAGCTGAGTTACCTGAATTGGCAAATGAAGAAGAGGGTGCACCTGTAGCAGAAGTGCGGGCTCGACGGTTTAGCAAGTGGCGCAGAGCAATCTCAAAATTCGAGGCAGATAATCCCGAAATATCAGCAGCGGAGGAGACTACTGAAGATGAAGATGGTGGCTCAATAGTGTTTGAAAGATGGGCTCATGCATTGGTCCTGCAGCTTCTAGTACTAGACTGACCCCCTCGAGTACCAGGACGGTCGCCTTGGCCATTAGAGGGAGTTCCATGCAGCTTCCGACAAGTTTCTCGTTTGTGGCAAGGGCGACGACAATAGTCATAGTAAAGGTTATCCTTCTTAGAGGAAGGACGAGAGCCATGAGTCACACGGTTGCCATCGCGAGAGGGTGTGGAAACCAAGGCCGAGCAATCAGTAGTAGCAGAAGGAAGCATTGCAAAACGGCAACTTTCCTCATTCTGCATAAAAGCAAAGGCTTCTTGGAGAGAAGGAAGCACATCCATGCCAATTACTCTGCTCCGAACCGGATCATACTCCACATTTAGACCTTCCAAGAACTTGAAGACCCGCTCTTGCTCCACAAACTTCCGGTAACCAGTAGAATCAGTGGGATGGACAGGCTTGTAATCCTGAAGGTGATCAAGCTGCCTCCACCCCATTGCTAAGGAAGGTAAAATACTGGAGGATAGTCTGCTCACCTTGTACCGACCTTTCAATGGATCGACGTAACTCGAAAGCCTGTGAGAAGTTCCCCTTTTGAGCAGTGTCCATAGACAAGTAGCCCTCTCCAATCTTCGGAACCATAGAATAGATCAACCAGCCCATAATCAGCGTCCTTGCCAGTATTTGACAGCAACCTAGAAGATGTCGATAAAAGCCAAGGAAGCCAGAGAGGCTGTCGACAGGCCCTATGGTGCCAGAGAAGCTACCGACAGACCCCCTAATGGACTGACGATGGCCTGGGTGAGGCCCTAGAGTGCCGACAGACCCCTTAGGAGACTGATGATGGCCTGGTTGGACTGTGGGATGGCAGACGATAGCGTGGGTGAGAGGCTACTCTGGCCGACTGGGCTCCTTGGGAAGATAGAGTTGCCGACAGACAGGAAGAAGGTATGGGCTTGGGTTTAGGCCTAAATGGTTAAAGGAGATATTTGGGTCTTAACCTTTTGTATCTGGAGCTCCTCATTGTTGCCTCATATCTTTATCTTTGGTGGTCAAAATAGGCTAGTGCATGTTTTGCCCGACGTGGAAAACAAATTTGCAGGAGTATGTTAACTAACTTCAAAAATTTAACAACTTTCATATTTTGATGGGGTCAGTGTTCCTAACTTCTAAACTATGGCGTAGGTTTTATAACGATTTGTTTATATGATACATGATTATTGATTTTTGATGACATAAGGTCTACTATGATTTTCTAAGTATGTGTCCACGTAAATGGAGTACAAATGTTGGTCTTGTAGATGCATCTAACTCCAATAAATTTTTTTTTTCATGTCCCACATTTTGCTAATATGCATCTGATATGCTAAAAACTTGTGTCACATTGAGATCTGTTTTTGCTAAATATCCCGAATCCAACTTGTTCCCTCTCTTTTATTTTATAGCGAAATTAGTTTTGTAAATGACAAACAAAGTTTGGTTAATTTATCTTTAATCTTTTGGCCTCTTTGGATTATTCCACTAAATCATACGAGGGCTTTACCAGATAACCAGGTGTTGGAATCGTTTCCACCAGATTCAGATGAACAGCAAGATCATATCACGGCCGTCCAAAATGAGGATGGGTACAACTGGGGGTATGATCTCATGTTCCTGATTGTCAATTTAGATGAAGTATATTATTATTATTATTGTTGTTATTTTCGAATTGTATATGCTAATAGCCCATTTTCTTTTTGTGTGGAAAATTATACTATGTTCTTGTGCCGAACAAAGCTACAATCCTGTTATATGGGGAGTCCCTAAAGGAAGCTATGCAAGCAATCCAAATGGTCCATGCCGTACAATTGAGTTTAGAAAGATGGTGCAGGTCCGTACTTTATATTTCCTTTTGCATGAAGAATTCCTGATATTGTGTTAATGTTTTCCCCAGTTCAGGCAAGAGTCACATTGGTTTTATTAGGTAATAAATGATTAGTATTGTGTATTAAAGACATTTTTTGTTGCAGGCACTTAACCATATTGGCCTTCGCGTTGTGTTGGATGTTGTCTATAACCATTTGCATGGAAGTGGTCCATTTGATGAGAACTCTGTTCTTGACAAGGTCATGAGTTGATTCCTATGTTGTATTTTTAGCCTTCTTGTCAGCCATTACTTAACATCTGCGTCTGACATATTATTATAACCAAACCAAACCAAACCTGAAGTCCCATCAAATGGGGTCGGCTTGTATGTATAATTATTATCTTGCCTAATATCTTTCTTTCCTTCCTTTATTTACATTTTTGGAAAAAGGTCTCTTCATACTCCTGTCATGACAAAAAGTTCTTCACAGATTGTTCCAGGTTACTACCTCAGGTTGAACAATGATGGTTGCATTGAGCATAGCACTTGTGTAAATAACACTGCCAGTGAGCATTTTATGGTTGAACGTTTGATTATTGACGATCTTTTGTGCTGGACAGTTCAATATAAGGTGATTGTTCTCATTGTTTCACTTTTTTATTCCTTAATAATTCAAGCGGAGCCCTATGATATTCAAAATATTGTGTTTTGGGTTTCTCATTCTCCATGCTGATGTTTCTGGCTACATATTAAACCTGCTGCTGAAACTACTCTCAAAGTGAAGCCTCTGAAATTGTATGTTTTGGGAAGATTTATTAACACACCGATTTTAATGAGTGGTTTAATTAAACTTAGGCATCAAGGTGATTTAAGTATATACTCGTTGAAATGAAAGTCAAATTGCGTGTCGTTAATTTGTTTATGGAAGAAACTTAATAGATACTTTGCTTAATTCCTGTATTTCTAGAGATTTTCATGTCCATTAATGTTGGTTTTGAAGTATCAAAACTGTTAAAATCCACCTACTCTCCACCTACTTCATCCACTAAACCTAACCCACTACACCACTACCACCTCACCTACTCCACTAAACCTAACCCACTACACCACTACCACCTCCACTTCACCTACTCCTTACCTACTACACACTCACCCTCTTCTATATATAGGAATCATGAATCATTGTAATAAATAACATTATATCAATCAATAATATACATCAATATATTTTTACAAAAACCTACTGCAATTTTCTTCAGTTGTTTTGTTGTCAGAAATTTGTAGGTTCATCTCAAAGTTAATGATGGGAGGACTTGAATGGTGATTAATTTATTTGAATGCTGTTGATGCCATTTCTAATGAAATTAGCACAAAGCTGAGTCCCAGTGATGCATAGACACAGCTTGCAGTGCTCCTGCAACTGTTTTATGGATATAAAGAATTCTATGTTCAGATATAACAATTTATTAAATTAAATAGCAGATGCACAAATATCATTTTTTTTTTTGTGCAAGAAGGGCTATCCGTTTGTTGTGTTACTTATGCATTTCAATAAGCATGTATCCAATGTGTTTAGCTTGGAGTTATGCGCCTGGTCAAGAATTCTGGTTCATTCTGATTCTGGCTTATGATAAATTACAAATTAGCGTTGGTGGCAACTGTCATGTGGTTTGCAGAGCTTAGTTTATTATATAATATGGGCTTTCTTTGTCTTGGTTGGATACAATTATTTGGTCTTTTCTTGCACTTCAAATTTTGCAGATACCTCGAAGATGCTGGCACACTGTTCTTCTCATTGCTAGATTTGTTTTCACATTGATTTTTAGTTTTGGTTATGTTTTGTACATTAATGTTAAAGAAGTTGATATGCTTCAAATTTGAATAAACAATACTCTGGTCTCTTCTAAAACTTATACAGCACACAGATTGATGTACGATCACTTGAGTACTGGATTACAGAATTGTATGATTTGCAATGATGCTTGTATGCTTTTGTCTCAGCCTCTTTCTGAATATATAAAATAAACTTTTTGAAGATCTTTTAGTTTTTACATGCTTCTAGTTGGGCATCATGAAAGAATTCTGTCTGATGATACATGATTGTGATTCCTGGATGTGTTCATTTACGTATTCATTTCTACTTGTTCAAATGAGTGAACTGATTCACATTGAGCGTGCCAGGAGAGTTAGAAGGCTATGAAGTGTAAGTTTTGAGAAGAGAAAAGTTAGAGATATGAGTGGTATCTCATCCCCTTATATATCAAATCATTTAAGCATAATTACAGGAGTGCCCTAAGGTATAAATAAGGGACCGGCCGAAAATAAGGGATCAGCCCATTATAGCACATAAAGATACTGAATATACATAAGAATAAAATAGGAAATATTCTAACATATTCTAACACATTTTAACACTCCCCCTCAAGTTGGTGCAAAGATATCTCTTATGCTCAAGCTTGTTGAGAATGTCACTGAATAGTTTATTTTCTAATCCTTTGGTGAGAATATTAGCCAGTTGGTCCCCAGACCTCACGAATGGCATACATTTAGTGCTACTAGTGAGTTTTTCTTAGATAAAATGCCTACCAATCTCCACATGTTTGGTCCTGTCATGCTATCATACTGAACCGGATTGTGAGCTATATTGATGGTTGCCTTATTGTCATAGTATAGCCTCATAGAATCTGTCTGATAAATCTCCAAATCCCTAAAAAATAATCTGATCCATAATAGCTCTCACACATCCTGAGTCATAGCTCTGAATTTAGTCTTTGCATTGGATCTCGCAACTACATTCTGTTTCTTGCTTTTCTAAGTAATTAGATTTTCTCCAACAAAGGTACAATAGCCAGAGGTTGACCTTCTATCAGTGACTGATTCAGCCCAATTAGCATTTGTATATGCCTCCACACTAAGATTACTATATTTTGAGAAATAGAAACCCTTTCCTGGAGAAGACATAAAGTACCTCAGAATCTGCATAACTGCCTCTAAGTGAATTGCACGTGGAGCATGCATAAATTGACTAACCATACTCACTGCAATAGCAATGTCAGGACGCGAATGGGATAAGTAGATAAGCTTACCCACTAGCCTCTGGTATCTCCCACTGTCTACAAGCTTGCCTCCTTGATCCTCACTAAGCTTAAGTGCAGGCTCTAGTGGTGTATCACAACCTTCACTTCCAAGCATTCTAGTTTTTTTTAGCAAATCAAGCACGTACTTTCTTTGACATATGAAGATGTCATCTTTGGACCGAGCAACCTCAATACCTAGAAAGTACTTCAAGTTGCCTAAGTCTTTGATTTCAAACTCATTGGCCAAATACTCCTTTAACCGAGAAACCTCTTCAACATCATCGCCTGTGAGTATAATATCATCCACATAGACAATAAGAGCTGTCGAGTGTTTCACAAATAAATTATGGTCAGTTTGACTCTATTTGAAACCATATCGCAGTATGGCTTGAGTAAATCTCTCAAACTAAGCCCTAGGAGACTGTTTAATTCTATAAAGTGACTTGTGCAGTTGGCACACTTTTCCTTTGGTTTTAACACCCTCAAAGTCTGGGGAAATGTCCATGTACACTTCTTCCAAATCTCCATGGAGGAAAGCATTCTTCATATCAAATTGATGGAGAGGCTAGTCGAGATTAGAGGCAAGGGAAAGGACTCTGACAAAGTTCATCTTAGCAACAGGTGCAAATGTCTCTTGGTAGTCTACTCTATAAGTCTGCGTAAAGCCCTTGGCCACCAATCTTGTCTTATAACGTTCAATTGAACCATCGGCTTTGTGCTTCACAGTGTACACCCACTTACATCCAACAAATCATTTGCCCATAGGTAACTTAGCTAATTCTCAAGTGCCATTTTTAGCAAGGACTCTCATCTTCTCTATCATGGCATACTTCCATTCAGTAGTAGAAAGAGCATCCGAAAAATTAGAAAGAAGACTCACAGAAGAAACTTTAGACAGAAAAGCTTTATAGGAAGAAGACAAATTAGTATAGGAGACAAAATGAGAAATAGGATGTTGAATATAAGGCCTAATCCCCTTCCTTTTAGCAATGGGAACATCTAGATCAGAAATAATAGAGTTCCTTGGAATTTCATCAAAAGAAGAGGATTCTGGACACTCATCAGAAGGAGAAGATAGCAGTGGAGAATCCGAATTGGTCTCTTGTACCCAAGTAACTTTTTTTCTATCCTTGTTCTTGACATAAACTTTTCCATCTTTGACTGCGGATTTAGATTCAACATTCTCAATAGTTAGGTTACCATTAACATTCTCAACCTGCTCAATCATTAATGGTAGTGATACAAGTAGTGATATAGAAATCGCTTCACACCAAGGCTCCCCTTGAAGGGATGACTGGGACACCGGTGAGGACAGGAAGTAGAACTGAGACTCAAAGAAAGACATATTCATAGAGACAAACCATTTCTGAGAGGGTGGATGATAACACTTGTAGCCCCTTTATGTAGTGAAGTAACCCAGGAAGACACACCGAAGAGACCTAGGATCCAACTTACCACGGGTAAGAGAATGGTTATGAACAATGCACACATACCTAAAGGTTTTGGAAAGAATAGAGAAACTAGAAGAGTGGGACCCTAACAAAACCTGAAGAGGAGTTTGTGGAGAACTTGGGTAGGCAGACTATTGATGAGGAAGGTTGTAGTGAGAACAACTTCCCCCCAATATGATTGAGGAACACACATTTCAAAGGACAGACAACGTGCAATATCAAGAAGATGGCAGTTTTTATGCTCTGCAACACCATTCTGTTGAGGGGTATTGAATAATACCATGAGTGGCAAAATAGCTGGCAAGGCCAGAGTCAATGTATTTCCCCCCATTATTTGAACGCAAAATTTTGACAACCGCCCCAAACTGAGTGCAAATCATTTTATGAAAATTTTAGAATACAGAAAAACCTCACATTTGTCTTTCATAAGATACACCCAAGTGGTCTTAGAATAATCAGCAATAAAGGTGACAAACCATCTTTGACCCTTTAAAGACACAAAACGAGAAGGATCCCATACATCATAATGAATCAATGAAAAATGAACTAAACTTTTATTAATAGAAGGAGCAAAAGAAACTCTGTGTTGTTTTTCAAGTTGACATGACTCACAGTGAAACTCAGAAAGTCTTCCTTGGTAGATGGTAATTGAATAGATGAATGAGACAGCTTGTCTGCTTAATCCAGGATATAGAGACCATTCTTGTTTCTACCACTGCTAATCATCTTCCTCGTGATAAGGTCCTGAATTAGACAATGATTAGAAAAAAAAAGGTCACACTACAATTTAAGTCCTAAGTAATACGACTCAAAGATAAAAGATTAACACTAAAATTGGGAACATGTAGTAAAGAAGACAAAGGAAGGGAAGCAGTGACATGAATTAAACTTTTCTCAAACACAGAAGAAATGGTACCATCAGCAATTTGAACTTTATCTTGTCCTGAAGAAGGGGAATATGCGGAGAACAAATTAGAAGACCCTGACATATGATCTGAAGCACCAGAATTGATAATCCAAGGCAATGTTTGATGAGATAGGAAAACACTTGTAGAAGAAGTTAAGTTACTTGAATGGGCAAAGTTACCTAAAGATGAACTAGATGCCCAACGGTCTAGCAAGTGGTGAAGAGCAACCTCCAATTCAGAAGTAAAAAACCCAGAGATATTAGCAGATGAAACAACAGGAGCTGAGGACTGTGGCTCAACTGTATCAGAATGATGGGTTCGAGCATTGGGCCCTTGGCCTCTAGACTGACTGGAGCGGCCCTCTCGAGAACCAGACCGATCTCCACGACCTCTAGATGGCGGCCCATGCAACTTCCCACAAGTCTCACGGGTGTGGCGAGGGTGACGACAATAGGCACAGAAGAGGGTATCCTTCTCAGAAGTAGGATGGGAACCATGATCCCCATCTCTAGAGGGTGTAGAAACTGGGGCAGATCGATCAGAAGAGACAGACGAAAGCATAGCAGAACGACGACTCTCCTCATTCTGCACATAAGCAAACGCTTCTTGGAGAGAAGGAAGCACATCTATACCAAGCACATGACTCCGAACAGGATCAAACTCCACATTCAGACCATCCAAAAACTTGAAGACCTGCACTTATTCAACAAATTTTTGGTAACCAGCAGAATCAGTGGGACAGACATGCTTGTAGTCTTGAAGATGATCAAGTCTCTTCCACCCATTGGTAAGGAAAGTAACATATTGGAGGATAGTCATCTCACCCTGGACGGACTGGTCAATGGATCATCGCAACTTAAAAGTCTGTGAAAAATTGCCTTTGCGGGAATACGTAGTGGCCACAGCCTCCCAAATATCCTATGCTGTGTCCATAGATAAGTATCCCTCACCAATCTCCGGAACCATTGAATGTATCAACCAGCCTATGATAAAAGAATTGGTAATCTCCAATTGATCATAACCCGGATATGTGGTATTGGGGTCCTGAACGCACCCATCAACATATCCCATCTTCCCTTTGCTCTTAAAAAAAATAGTCAAACTTTGTGACCATGCTAAATAATTCTGACCATTAAAGAGAGAGGTGTTGATTTTTTGGCTAGGGTTGAGGGAATCAGTCATAGTAGGAAGCAAAACAGGACTCACGCCCTGAGGAGCAAGCTGCGAAGTAGTAGACTCACTAGTCAATTCCGCCATGAATACTCTACTAAGGAACCCTCACAAACAAACACTGGTCTAATCACAAACCCAGAAAATGGAAGAATATATTTTTTTTTGGAGAAGGAGACAGAAAATAGATAGAAAAGAATTACATGAAGAGAGAGACTAAGCACTAATGGTCACCGATTAAGGACTTCAAAGAAACCCAGACCCAAGAGAGCCACCCGACTGAACCAAGGCTCCTTAGCGTCTATTGACAGCCTGAGGAGGGAGGAAAATCACCCCTGATTGGACCTCCAAACCTGCCGACAGACCTAGGCTGGGAAAAAGGAGGCTCCGACGAGCCCTAGGGTGTTGTTGAAGCCCTAGGAGGATGCGGCTAGGACTATCGGAGCCCTAACAAACTGCGACTGGTGCTGTCGGAACCCTAGGGGGGCTGCGGTTGGTGTGGTGGTGTGATGGTGGCTATAGGGTTGTGGTTTCTAGGATTTTTTTATTTTTTTTAGAGTGGTTCTGATATCATGTAAGTTTTGAGAAGAGTGAAGTTAAAGGTATGAGTGGTATCTCATCCCCTTTTATATTAAATCATTTAAGCATAACTACAGGAGTGTCCCAAGGCATAAATAAGGGACCGGCCCATTATAGTACATAAATATACTGAATATGCATAAGAATAAAATAGGAAATATTCTAACACATTCTAACATGAAGAACATGTGTTGAGGCTGTTAGGAAGAAATGATTGCCTAGAAAATTGGAATTTTAGGCTTTGATGGGTTAAGTTTCCTTATTGTCAATTTTTGTAATAACAATGATTACGCAACTGTGGCAACAGCAGCTAAAACAAAGATAAGATTTATTTATTTTTGATCAGCGAAAGTCAGTAATTAGTTGTTAGATTAGGCACCTAGGGGGAGTTGAACTCCCACCCTCTCCTTGCAAGCACTTAAGATAAGGTTGTTGTTGTTGTTAATATTGTTGCTATGATTTCTTATTTGATCAGCATCATCATTGTCACGATCATTATTGGTTTTGTTGCTATTGTTATTACCACGATCACCCCCACGTGTGGTTAAGCTACACTTATCCACTTGAAACTTGCACAAAGTTGATGTCTGGAAGGTCTGTTTTACCTCACAACATGTGTCTGATGTGATTATTGAAGATGATAAATAGCTAAAACAGAGGACTTAAGTGCATTTGATTTTAATTATGGGAAAGTGGTGCCTTTTTAGCTGACTCCACTTGATTGGGACATAAGGCTTAGTTTGGTTTGGTGCCTCTTCATGTAAATACAATGAGCTTCTTGTGCTTTTGTGAGCATCTCAGAACTCCCATTCCATATGCTTAGAATTACATGTGCTAACTTATACGCAAATACATATTTGTGCAAGAGTATTTGACAGATTGAGACCATTATAGTGGGTAAACTGTAAAAGGGTGAGAAATTTATTTAAAGATGACGCTTAGGTTTAAAGATAGGAACTATTTAAAGATGACATTGATGGTTAAAGATAGGAACTCTAATGCTGTAATCTAAATTGTAGTATGAATTAACTTTGAGAAAAAGATCTTGTTATACTCGTTATCAAGATAGGGAATCTCGCTCTGGTTCTCTTTTAGTGGTGTGTTTAGCATATTGATAACTTGTTTTCTTGCTGAAGAATTTATTATTGTAAGCTGCACACTACACTCTGGTTATTATTCATGGATTTGGATATTCATTTGGGGTTCTTTAACGTAATTGGTATTTCACTTCATGGCTGTCTTGCAGGTTGATGGGTTTCGATTTGACCTTATGGGTCATATTATGAAACGTACTATGGTATGAAACACCTCACTCTTCTTATCAATGATTTTTATGTTACTTAAGCATTTTATAAACAAATTTGAATAATTCTAGTCACCTATCTTCCAGTTAGAGTTGTCACAAGTCACAACTTAATGCTGCGACATATTCCAATTCTTGGTTACTTGTTTGCAACTTGCAAGTTCATATTCCCTACTGACGACTTGATTGAATTTTGATGATATATACATGTTAAGGGTTGGCCATCACGAGTAATATGATCTTTATTAATATGTGAGATTGTTAGTTTGTATTATTGTATGGTTTGTTATGAAATAGATATCAATGTTTCAATATATCATAAAATGATGGATGTTGATAGACATCTGAACTACAATCTTAAAAAACTAATTCTTGATAGAAATATAGAGGCATTGCTGGAATATGAAAAACGTCTTGGATTGGATATTCTTGACCAACCTCAAGGGGTTGGCGTAGTGGCTTGAGGCCAGGGGCTTAGGGGTCTACTCCCTCTAGGTCTTAGGTTTGATTCCCCCAACCAATATAAAACCCTTGAGGCCACGGACTGCAGGGAAACCTGTTCCAAAAGGCTTGTTCGGGCTATAAGAACTTAGTCTGGTGTGCAGAAGATGGCCTAAGATACCCTACATAACACACAAAAAAAAGAAAAGAAGAGGATATTCTTGACCTTTATGTTTGAGTGATAGTACCCAATGCACGAAATCCGTGCTGTTAAAAGATAACTTATTTTGAATACAGGTTAAAGCAAGAAGTGTGCTTAATGGCCTATCAAAGGATACAAGGGGAGTTGATGGTTCTAGTATTTACATGTAAGCATGGAATTATTGAGCTGTTCCTCTCCTTCTAGACATTTTGGTTGTATCATTACAGTTGTGTGATTCCTGTACCATTGTCTCCTTTATATGCATCAATTTCATCTACCTTCGGTTGATAACATTGCTTTCTGTAGATATGGTGAAGGATGGGATTTTGGCGAAGTGGCAAAAAATGGACGTGGGATAAATGCATCACAGTTCAACCTATGTGGAACTGGAATTGGGAGGTATAGACTTTTTTGTTAGTTTCTCATCCTAAGATATGGTGTAACATCTTTTTTTCTTTGTGTTCCAGTGGCTGGTTCATGCAAAAGAGTAAGTATAATGTATATTTATTCCTTAGATTAAGTCGCCGTGGTTAACATGTTAACTTGCAAATGTCAGCATCTGTTGCCCTTTGGATTAGAAGGACAATAAACTGTAGCTTTTCCTAACTGAGTAACTCATTTAAAGTGCCCATGGAAAAGATGGATTACCTTGATCGCATGTGAAACCATTCAGTAATATCTAATTACTTCTTGCGACTCAGATAGCTATAATCCCTTAAAGCTTGGTTCTTCTAGGCCTCAGTTTATCAAGAAGAGGATCATGCTGATGAAGGGAATACTGAAAATGAAGAAAATCATGTTGGATTTTTTAATTTTATTTTTGAGAAGTATATTAAAAAAGCATCAAAGGCTAGGCAAAAGACTATACAAAATCCAAAAATTGCTCAGGGGAGGGGCTTACCATCATTAAATACCAACCATTCAAAATGCACATAGAATTTTGAATTATAATAACATTTTTTTTGACTGCGTCAAAGGATCTTCAATTTTTCTCTCCGTAAATAATTAATATCACAGAAATTAGCAGTAAGAAAGTCATGCTATTAAGTGAATTTTATGTTTTGATTCAGCTTCAATGATCGAATTCGAGATGCATTGCTTGGTGGATCTCCATTTGGCCATCCTCTTCAGCAAGGTTTTGTGACTGGTTTGCTATTGCAGGTAAACAATAGATTTGTCATTGAAAAGGCATTATAAAAGATTATCTATGGATTGTTCTCTCGTCATGACTAAATCTTCTTGTTTTATTTTATGATAACATTCTGCTCTTAGTGCAAGAATCTGAGTGATATGGAAACTTTTATGATAGTCATTTGAGTAGTACATATGTTTAAGGCAAGTTTAGCCTTTTAGTTTGACAACTTTATCACAAGCTCCTAGGAACAATTGTTAAAAGAGATTAGGGTGCATTTGTTTGACAAGAATTTTTGATCTTATATTTATTTTTTGTAGAACTTTTGTCCAAGCCTATATCTAGGCTTATAGCCTTGGTTTAGAAAGGTGCAAAATTTTGGCCGTATTGGTGTGCTAATTTTCTACAATGTAATAATGCCAGTAGACTATGATAACTTTATGGTTTTGTTCGTTATATGCAGATGTATTCTATAAATTGACTTTCAAGCCAACATAATAAACAATGTAAATTCTCTCCATCCTTTTGTTTCCTACTTCGTCACTAACTTCTCTTAAATTTCATAACTCCCTCATGATTCCATAAATAAAATAGTAGAAAAGCTACTTCCTTTTGTTTTGTAATTGGGAGAAGTTCCCCTTTCGAGAGTAAGTGGTAGTCACGGCCTCCCAAATATTCTAGGCAGTGTCAATAAAGAGAGCCTCTCCAATCTCCGAAACCATAGAATGCATCAACCAACCCATAATGATGGGAGTTGGTGATCTCGGTCCGTGGTGGTGGGTGCCTGATATCCTATCAACATACTCATTTTCTCTCTACTCTTCAAGAAAATAGTCAGACTCTGCAATCACTCTAGATAGTTTCTGACCATTGAATAGAGAAGCGGTGATCTTAAGGCCAGGGTTGACATTATCAGTTATAGTAGAAGGCAAGGGAGCTCTCGCTCTTAAGCGGCTGAGAAGTTGGTGACTCATTAGTGAAATCTGCCATGAAAGTTCTACTAAATAACCCTCAAACCCAAGGGCAATCACACATCCGGAAGATAATAGTGGAAGGAAACGCACAACTCCTCCTATGAAAGCATAAAGAAAAGAAAACTTTTGTTTTTTTTTTTTTTTTTTTCTAATGCATTTTTTTTTTTAATTTTTTTTCTTGGTTCTATTTTGTGTTATACAGAGACTACAAGAAAGAAAAGGGAAAATTAGCAACACTAGGAAGGACCAACCAAGGCATTCGTGTGCAACCAGAGGCTAGACGACCAGCCAGGGGGGATCGAATGCACTAGTCGACCACCTGGGAGGCCACGAATGCCCTCATCAACCACCTGGGAGGCTAATCCAGAGGCTAAACGACCACTCAAGTAGGATCGAATGCCCTAGTCGACCACCTAGGAGGCCACGAATGCCCTAGTCACACACCCAGGAGCTATCGCACAGAGAGAGAGAGAGAGAGAGAGAGACAACGGCACTGTTAGGGCTACCGACTGTCCCAGGCAAGAGTTTGGGTGGCCTGGGCAGTCCTGCGGTGAGGAAAGGAGGCTGTGATTGGTGTAAGATTCCTCCAAATAAGGCTCTGATACCATGTAGGTTTAGAGAAGATAAAGAGTTAGCGAATGAGTTTAGGCTTCATTCCCTTTTATATTAATAATACTGAGTAATTACAGGAATGCCATAAGGCATAATTTAAGGGTCAGCCGATTACACCAAGCAAGGAATAAAATAAGAATAAAATACAATCAATATATGTCCTATTCTAACAGCCTTCAACCCAACTTATTATCTTCGATAGAGCCTTTTGATGGAAAATGGCATCCTCAATAGGAACTAATTTTTGGTAAACAAAAACCTGAAATTTATATGAGTACTGAATGATTCTCAAAACAACAATCCGGAAAGCAAGCTTATATTTACCATACTTGGTATATAAATGGTAAATGAACTGAAGAAAGCTTTTGTACTAGTTTGTCAAAAGTGTATGAAGGTAATTTTTTGATCTTTTCTAAAAATTTACAGAGTTATATTTTGAAGTTTTTAATAGGGCTCTTCACTTTCCAACCAGAAAATCCATTTATTGTTTCGACATGCCTTGAAATGTGTACTAAAAAGGAGGTTTGATTACCATTCGATATTCACAAGGAAAGACTAGAATCATTATGGACTAATTTAAAAGAACATTCTTAAATGAACTGAGATGGGAATGAATATACACCCCACACATGGTAGTGAGATAACCACTGTATAACGGTATTCATTCATGTAGGATGGGCTGTTAAATCCACCTACTACACACCTACCACTACCACCTACTACACACTCACCTACTTCACCTACTCTCACCTACTCCTCACCTACTCCTCACCTACTACACACTCACCCTCTTCTATATATAGAATCATGAATCATTGTAATAAATATCAATACATCAATCAATAATATACATCATTTTTAACATGGTATCAGAGCAGGTTTAGAACCTAATATTTTCGCTTCCCCGGCGGGCGGCAACCTCACCTTAGCTGCCCGCCGGACCTCAACCTAGTCTGTAAAATTTCTACACATACCTTCCACAGTCGTCCTCTGCAAGAAGAGAAGCTTCGCTCATCATTTCCTTCCACGAATCTTCTTCGTGGTTTCGCACTCTTTCCACCACTCCCTCACTGTTGACTACCGACTGGCAGAGCTCGTGCGCCATTTTAGCGAGCAAGGTGGTGTCGCAGCAGCAAGACACCACCGTGCAGAGCGGGAACGCCGACAACATCACCGCCGTTAAACGGCCACCAAACCCTAGATCTCGTCACCAGTCGAGAACTCCCTCGGCGGTAGCATCCACTGGAACTACGATCTCCTCCTCCGCCACCGACTCCACATCGTCGGCGAAGTCCAGTTCCCCGTCCACCACTGCCTTCTGCCCTCCCGGGCGTCCGAAACGAGTACCTCACTCGCGTCATTAGCCATCCTCCGGCCTTAGCTCCTTGAGCAGACGAAGAGAAATGGCGGATGACTTGGTGATGGACTTGAGGGCACTTCGTCAACTTCAAAGCATTGCAAAGAGGCCCCGTGTTGTCTCTCTCATTTCTCTGAAATTCGCAACTTGGAAAAGCTGTCGAAAGAGGCTGCCTCTACAGTGACCTCTCAAGCACAAACTCCAAGCCCAGCTGTTGCACCCTTCCACAAACAAATATATATTATTATATAACTATTATGTTAACTATTATATCATATAATATATTATATTTTGATATATTATATAACTATTATGTTAACTATTATATAATATAATATATTATATTTTGATAGCCAACACCGGCCCACGGGAAAATCAAACTTGAATCTTCGTTTATAATGCACCACACTCTCTCTCTCCACTTTTATCACATGGGCTTGTCCCTTCTCTCACCTCCGTTTGATTTTCAAATCAATTTCTTAATTTATTTATTTTTTATTTTTTTTTCCAAATCACTTTTCATCTTTTTTTTTCGATACCCCTCTCAATAATCTCTCTTTTGTAGGGGCCCTCACCCCCACTTTATTTTGAAACCATCCCACTGATGTTTTTCATATAATCCATCTCCAATATTTTATCTCTTTTCTTTATCCCTTGTTTTCTTTCATTTTATTTTTTTTAACCAAACCAAACCAAAAACAAAAAAAAACAAAAAACAAAAAAAAAACAAAAACCTTAACAAAACAAAACAACCTTTTACAAACTTGTCATTTCTTTCATGCCGGGGATCAACCCCAATCCGCATTTTACACCAAAAAAAAAAAAAAAAAACAAAAAAAAAAAAAACAAACAAACAAAAAAAACAAAAAAAAAAACACCAAACACACATCACAGGCGGGATTTTTCTTCTCTACTCTGCCGCCGGTCTCTCTTCTTGCCTCCGTACTGAGCGGCCCTTGCCGGTGTTGCCTCCGTGCTTCCTAGATCACCCAGCAAGTTGCCTCCTCCCTCTCCTCCACTGCAGCATATGACGGCCCTCCAAATCGGAACATCACGGTGGCCTTCCGCTTCAGCTCCTTGTTTTCCGCCTTTAGTACACTTATCTTGCTCGCGCATCCTTATACATGCGTTGGAGCAGAGCCAGTTGGGCGTTTAACTGCTGCACCTCATTTGTCCTACTCTGCAGCCGGTTCGACAAATTTGTAACCGCAGTCATGGTTTCCACACATGACTTCAATGTATACTGATTGGCCTCCACATCCGACTGCACTGCCATTCTTTGCTCCACAGACCGCATAGGAAAGTTCAACGGAGCAAACTCCGGGGCGCTTGGTTGAGGTTCCAATGCCACCGCACCAGTTATCTCTCTTGTTGACTCGTTGAGGTCAGGAAAGAGTGAGCAGACCGCGGGAAGACGAAGCCATTTTTCTGGGCAACAGAGTGTTACAGAGTATCTTTCTCAGCAAAACGAAGAATTTTTCAGAGGTTTCTCTCAGTTTTTCTATCTCAGCTTCTTGCCTCAGCCTCAGCCTCCGTCTTGGTTAAATAGCCGAGGCAGCCACGCGTATCGCGCGCCACTTGACGCCAGACGACAAACGGGCCGCCAGCCAAGGCACTCACGTGCCTCGCCATCATATCTGGCACGCCTTTTTATGGATTGGGCACGCCTTTTGATGGCACGCCTTTTGAAAGATTGGGCACACCTTTTGAGGGTGCGACTTTTTAGGGTCCGACAAGACTCTGTAACTGTCCCGACATTGATCCGGTTAGCTCCTTTATGGGTCCGACAAGACTCTGTAAACTTTCCCGACATTGATTCGTACTCCTGTATGGGTCCGACAAGACTCTGTAAACTGTCGACTTGATTCCGTTAGCTCATGGTGACAACTGATTTCCGACATTGATTCGGTTAGCTCCGTATGGGTCGACAAGATCTGTAACTGTCCCGACATTGATTCCGGTTAGTTCTACAAGGTCCAGCAAGACTCTGTAAATTCACAACAACTTCACAACATTGTCTGCTACAACGGTCCGACATGACCCCATAAACTGTCTTCTACATCGGTCTGACACCGCCATCCAGTGT